GCGTGCCGAAGAAATTTACATACATTCTTAGAATCGAAAAGCAGGAAGATGAATATAATTTAGACTATTCCAAATTTGCATCAGTTATAATATTCCAAATTAGCAACATAAAGACCTATAATCCGTAAAAAAATATATGCATTAACATATCGCAAAACTACATTTAACAAATTAAAATATAAACCAATACTTACCTGAAGAAACATCAGGGCAATGATCCACGAAAAAAGTTCTTGTCAAGTCACATTTAATTTTTCACACATTTTTGCGCTCTAGTATAAATATTTAAAATAAATACAAAATATGTTGCCCACTAAATACAAACTATAAGCTGAACTAGTAGTTTATACCATATTTAACCAGATAAGGCCACGCATAGCTTCAATAAGTGAGTATTTCAAATTACCAACAGTATTCCGAATTACCCCCATTTCCTTTACATTTTTTATTTACGTGTCCTTTTTCATGATGTTGATCATAACTAAAAAAAAACCAAAATTATGATTTTTACTTGTTTGTACAAAATTAATTTTAAATATGTACAAACAGTATACTAAAACCATGGGGGTTAAGTACTGGTGTTGCGTTTGCTCATAGCTACATACTCATATAGCCTTTACTCTCTCACAAATTAATAGACTTTACATAAAAGAATTAAAAATTCATTAGATATTATTTTTAATTACAATTATAAGAGAAAATAAACATATATTAAAATTAATATGAAAGAGTGGCCAAGGGTAATATTCTAAATCTCATCCTCCCCCTTTCCAGTATACACGTAGATATAATATTCTCCCTTTTTGCATAAAACACTTTAATCTGGGCTTTCTTGTTAAGTAAAGCCGGTGTTTGTAACACATGTTTTCCGTAGTGGCTTTTATGGTTATATAATTAAAAACGAACAGTTGAGAATGTGCCCGGAAATATTGCGTTAAGTTCAGACAACGGTCGGCCTCCTAAATAGATTTGCATTAGTCCATTTTAACCCCCTTATTTATATATACCGCGTTATTAAAACGCTATCTTGCCCCCATCGCCGACACTACACAAAGAGGCGAAAATAATTTAGCGCGAACCGCCAGTACTGCTGATGAATTTTCAATTTTCCTTAAACAATACTCTTTAAAACATTAATCAGCAATTTTTGACCTGGACTAGGGTCTCCACTTAGACAAGGAAAGAGAGGGGACAGGTAATACGGCAGCTAAAAGTGAGGCAAGTTGTCACCACTCTAAATTCTCCAATGGCGTAGCATCAGAAATTAGCTTGTACCTAGACGGTACAAAATATTTAGTAAAACGTAAACTAATATATCGTTCATTTTTGAGTAATGCATGTACAATTTTGTATTTTATAGTCTCACCTTTATAATATTAGAATATCTAAGTCGATAATGCAAAATTTATTTAACAGTCACAGTGGACTGATTATCAAGACAATTATTTTTTATTAACGTGTGTATAATGTATAATTAAATAAAAAATAATGTAATAACACATATTTTAAACGTGTATATACATATATACTGTATGATCGAAAAAAAACGGCGTCTTGTTTGTTTGGAAATGACAATTTCACAAATGAATATTAAAAATTACATTATTCATTGAATATTGAATCCGTAAGCAAGTGTGAAGAAAATTGGCTAGATTCATTATTATACCGTATAATCGAAAAAAAACAACGTCCAGTTGGCTTGTAAATTACGATCGATGACATACATTCCCCATATAATTCTACATAAAATGACATAAAAACTATACAAAAAGACATCGAAAAAAGACGGCGTCAGCGATGGCTATGAAATGAAGATCGCTGTCATTTTATATGTAAAATTATATGGGGAATGTCGTCGATCGTCATTTACAAGCCAACTGGACGTCGTTTTTTTTTTGACCATACGGTATAATAATGAATCTAGCCATTACCCTTCACACTTGCGTACGGATTCAATGAATATTGTAATTTTTTTTTAAATTTTTATTAATTACTCACTGAAACTATTATTATACACTTAAATTAGCAAATTTTTTGAAAGAATATTTAAAAAAATATATGTATGTAGTAACAAGTAGCCCACCACAAGTTTGTCCACCCCGAACAAATCTTGGCAGGTAAATTTAAGTTTTATATAACTATACATATAGATTTTTTATCACTAGAATTTTTAATTTTTTTATAGTTTACAATTATTTTACATATTTGATAACAATACTTTATACATTTTTTTATATGTAAAATATATAAAAAAATGTTTATTGCAGAAATTGTATTTCCCTGATTATAATTCCCTACGCCACTGGTGAAATCCGGTCTGAGTAGCAATATTTATAGTTTCAAACATTTATTAAATTACAGGATACTGAAAATATTACTTGGAATTATTAAAAATAGTCTGGTTTGAATGTGGTACAAGACATATTAAAAGCATTTTACATATTTTTACTGCTATAATGAAAAAAATGTACATTTTATGACCACATAACAAAAGTTGTGTATCGATTTTTACCTGTGAAATGTAATTCCAGCCACTTTTTTCTCACTTCGGTCTTTGCAGCCATACTCTGAACATCTCACCATACTAAATAATACAGTTTAAAAATTTAAAACAAAACAGTTGTCACAAAAAACATAAAAATTCGCTCGGTGTCACCTCGAAATCTTGTCACCAAAGTATGGCCGCCGATCGAATTTTGGCCTCACTATCCGATCACGGGAGAATATGCGTGTTACCCGTCCCCTCTCTTTCCTTGTCTAAGGGTCTCCATAAGTCCGAATTTACACGGACATGTCCAGGTTTATGAGGAACAAATGTTCGGGAAATCTCACTCTAAAAAGGCTTAGCTTTGTTGAGACATTGTGCGAAAGTATCCATGTAAAATGTAGAATGTTTGGGAAGGGGTTAATCACCGCGACCTTACAAATCTACTGTGTGTCCCTCTTTCTTGAGTTATAACTCATCATACAGTCTCAGGGCTTTGGCAAAAGCCAGTATATGAGACGGCTTCATGGAGGCTAGTTCTCCATCTCCAACATCAGTACTACCAAAGTTTATTGATGAGGTGTTCTGGTGTTTCCACATTTTCCCCGCAGAATCTGCATTCACCATTGTTTCTTAACTTCAATCTACTGAGATGTTCGTTGAGGAGATGTTAAAAATCCTGTGACAATTCTTACTTAAATCAAGGAAAATCTTTGATTTTTCTCGGTCGTATGTTCTAAGAAATTTCTTAGACCGTTGGAGGATTCCCATTCCAGGTTACCGATGAAGTCCTTCAGGTTCTTGAGTTCCGCTTTAAGTTGATTTCCACTCGGAAAGCAGAACGGTTCTGCATGCATGGTCCAGTTTGTGGAATGTTCGCTCCTTTACTAGCCACATAGATTGTTTGCTTATTCATTGTCTTCTATCTCTAGGTGAGCTAGCACCCAGAGTAGGAGGACTTTATTTTCTTTGTCTAATTTGTTCAGCTTCTCTAGGCACTCTTTAACCATAACTTCGAATTGATGGTTACTGAGTTGATCGCTTTCAGTGCTGCTTGACTATCGGATGAGATGGCTATTTCCTGTTTCCGATAGTTCCTATCTGAAGGATGCTGGGGTAGGTAGGTGCTCATCAGGGTTGCCACCCGTCCCGATTTTGTCGGGACAATCCTGATTTTGATCCAAAAGTCCCGCGTCCCTACGCAAAGCCCTAATATCCCGATTTTTATTTGTTTAATAGCCACATTTTTATTAAACAATAAAATTGTAATTTTATTAAAAAATACATATTTATTAATTTCTTGAATTTAAAAACAGTTCTTTTCCACGAATTAATTAAAATCTTAGAAATTTTAGAATTAAAAGAAGTAGATATTGATACTCTGTTTAATCAATATTTGATAATAAAAACTTGCGTAAAGGAAATTTGCCAAAAAGGATATAAAAATTATAGATAAAAAAATAAATACTTTATTTTTTTATCTATAATTTTAAAACTAGAGTAAATTATATGCCTTACCATTTCTATCTGGTATTTTTTTTGCGAAACATCCAAAACGAAAGTTTGTAATAAATTTATAGTTTACCTCTCGACGAATCCCAGATATTATCCAAATTTCAGACCTCACTTGTCCAGAATTCCCAAAAAACCTGTATGGAAACCTTTACATTTACATCCAACCAAATAACTTCCAAAATATTAAATTAACTCGTTTGGAAACTGTATAACGCTTCTCCTTACATTGTACGCTTTTGCCAGTTAAGAATTCACAACAGAGTTGAAACTGCATGACTTCCGGAAGCTATAAATTTTATTTTAAAAGTAATGTCGTAGAATTTTACTATATTCCAATGTTTTATGTATTTTGTTGAATTTTATAGGGATATATCTCAAATTCTCCAAACTCAGAACTTTAATTTCCTTCCGATTTAAAAGTAACCGGCACCATCTAGCGGAGGAATTCTGAGATCGATGCAGTGCTGCAAAAAGCAGATTTCTACTTATTTGGCTTCAATGTTGGTCGGTATAAACTATCTAAAGAGTTCTATTCACCTTACATTTTTAAAGGGCAACTATGGAGGGTTGCTACCCTCCATAAGGGTAACGTAATCAATATATATGTGATGTTCGGGACCTTTTCAAGAGAGGGCGAAATAAATGTATTTTCTATAACGTAGTACGTGCTTTTACTTGATAGATGGCACTTACTGATGAGTTTAAAATTTTTTCAAAAACTTAATCTGTTAAAAGGGCAATAAAATAAAACTAATTTTGTGAAACAGATATTTTTTCTTATTCATATTACACAATAACACTTAATACAATATTAATATAAAATACTGTTTAAAGAAGAGTAAATGTAACAAAACTAAATAAGGTAAAAGAGTATGATCAAAAAAAAAAAACAGCGTCAGCGATGGCTATGAAATAAAGATCGCTGTCATTTTCTTTGTAAATTTATATGGGATATGTCATCGATCGTCATTTCCCAGCCAACTGGCCGCCGTTTTTTTTTATCATACGGTAATTATCACTACCACGATATAGAACTCTCTATCTAGACAAGCGATGTTGGAATTATTTATTTAGAGCTACAATTGAAAATATACAGTGGCATTCAGAAATTAAGTACCCGTAGAACAAAATTATTATTAGCCTGGAATATCGTGGTTGATGGAGAATGGCGAGTGTTTTGTTTTTCTCATTCATTAACAAAGCATCTGTCTCTTAATTCAAAAGTTACTCTTAAGAGATTCATAAATTTACAGTTTTGGATTTTTAAGTCTTATTAAAAATAGTTTTTTCTAGATTAAAATGTGCAGTCAACGAAATTGTACTTTTGTGTCCTCTCATTTAACAAACCTAAATGTCTAAATTACCGAAAAATGCGACAGCACTACAACGAACATCGTACGTACATAAATATACTAAAAAAGAGTTTAACAAAATAAATGGTAATTGTTTCAAATTAATTGTTATGTCTCACTATTTTTCTTTTAGACTACGGTACTTTAAGGAAACATTAAAGAGTGAACTAAGACCTGTATGACAAATATACTGGTATAATAACAACTAATTTGACACGAGATACGACTATCTACACCCTGTTTTTAATTAATGTCTAAAATTACGAGGGTTAAGTCTATATAAGTACTTAAGAACTATAACAAAACTCTAATTAAAACCAAGAAAGTGGCACTTTATAGCTATTCCCTCGTAATATACTTATTTACAATAACTGTCCTGCCATTTATTTCGTACGGTAGGTACAATTATGTTTTAAGCACATTCAATTTTAATTTATTCACAGCAATTTTCGGGAGATTCCCTTTTTTTAAATCAACAAACATATCAAAAATATCGGTACTGCCGCTGATCTAAACCACAGCTTCAGTTCCATCAAAACTCAAATTTAAAAGCACGTCTTTGGCATTGTCTATTTGCGTTTGAAAATGTTCTTCTGTCGTCGATGTGATCAGGGGAGTGGATGATGGTGTGATCACTTGAGTATGATTTTGGAGTATGTCTTTGAAGGACTGCTGCGTAGAGGGCTCGACCAGGGCAGTTGAGGTGGCAGAACTCTTTGAATCGCTCTCTATGCTGGAATTCGAACTTTGACTATGGGTATGACCGCTGCTGGTTCTTTGGTAGTTCCTATTGGTCCTCCCGTCCTCGCTTTTTGGACCGGTGTTCTTGTGTTCGGCAGCCTCTGCGTTTGATATGTTGTCGATCTTCTTCCACTTCGTTCTGCGGTTTTGGAACCAAATTTTTACCTAGAAAAAAAAAGAATTATGTGAATTAAAACAAAAAAAAACCGGATGGGTTGTTTACTTTCGCAATATTTTAAACGCTATTACCTCTGACATATGATTTACTTAACAGGTTATTCCTGTGTGAAATCCTACTTCTATTCAGTAAATAAACACGCGAGTAATCGTTAATTAAATTTTAATTAAATACCTATTATTGCAATGCGCGAAAAGCTTCAGTGGCTGTAACTAAATTGAACCTTTTTAGCAGGACTACAAATTAAATTTGTAATTAAAATAATTTTCGCCCCTATTATTTTTATGCGTGGCGGCAAATGTTTTTATCGGCTCTTAGTATTTGCGCGTTTATTTTATTAAGCATCGGGCCAATCAAATTACGGGACAGTTAACAGGATTTAGATCTGGCTTTTTACAATTAAAATCGGAGCGTTTCGCCCGGAGCCACAGACTGATGGTCGTATTAGCGGCATCATCCACGTCTGCTAAGAATTTTATTTGCATAAATCATATTTCCTCAAATAAAGTCAGATTGGCCGTTGTTCAATCGATTTTAGTTTTATTTCGCAGAGTATTTTTAAATGAAATCGATCAGATTACTTGACGTTAAGTTTAAATATGCATTTTCTATTTCTAGAAAATGTAGAATGTAAAATGTTTAGAGGGGGAGTTAATCACCGCGACCTTACAGATCTATTGTGTGTTCCCCTTTCTTGAGTTATAACGAGCTAAATCTCATCATAGTCTCAGGGCTTTAACAAAAGCCAGTATCTGAGACGGCTGCATAGAGGCCAGCTCTCCATCCTCGACATCAGCCGTACCAAAGTTCATGGCATGAATGGTCTTCCTCTCGACTCACTCAGTGATGGTGTTGTGGTGTTTCCCCATTTTCCCCACAGAATCTGCATTCGTCGTTGTTTCTCAGCTTCAGCCTACTGAGGTGTCCGTTGAGGAGACAGTATCCTGTTAGAAACCCCGTGAAAATTCTGAGAAACTTTTTTGAGTGTCTTAGACCGTTGGAGGACTCCCATTCCAGGTTACGGATGGAGTCTTCCAGATTCTTCAGTTCCGCTTTTAGTTGGTTTCCGCTTGGAAAACAGAACATTTTAGAAAATCTCGTGACCATCCGAAGATTGTTCTTAAATCTTTGATTTTTCTCCGTAGTAAGCCCTGAGAAATGTTTTCGAGTGTCTTAGACCGTTGGAAGACTCCCATTCCAGGTTATGGATAAAGCCTTTGTTGTTGGTTTCCACTTGGGAAGCAGAAGGGTTCTGGTCCAGTTAGTGGAGTGGCTCCTTTTCTAGCTAGATCGTCTGCTTTTACATTATCTTCTTTCCTTTTGTGGGCTAGCACCCAGACTTTATTTTCATTGCCCAATTTTCAGCTTCTCTAAATTGACGGTTACTGAGTTGATCGCTCGCTGCTTGATTATCGAATACGATAGCTAATTTTCTATCAAGAAAAGGTCCTTATTTTACTGTAAAAAAAAACTTCTATTTCAGTATACCACTTATTTAGAAGTTATTAAACTAAGAATCTAAATGTGAAAAAGTTTTTGTGTTGCGGGAAATGCTTTTATGTTAATTAGTAAACAAAAATACGAAACTGAGACTCCACGAAGGGGTTATATCCACATGCTGTAACAGTGGATAATAGGTTGGAATTATAATTAGCGCGACTGAAGCATTAAACGGTAGCGGGGGTTGTAATTGATCAATAGCACATCAAGGGGTGGCAGGACTGTACTCCACGACGGAAGATAAAATTTCGATCCATAAATTATCCTCTCATCCCTTTAATTTCCATTTTTATACGTTACACTATAGGCACAAAATAAATACATAAACCTCCTAAGACGAACAAAAAAGCATACATATTGCAGAACGCAGAAAAAGAACGGTAATATGCCGGAAGACAGCCCTGAACGAAAGTTTTTGCAGTGCTGTATTTCTACCTTGTCAAGAGGGTTCTAACTCATTTAAATTTTAGGCCGTGTTATATTGGGGAGCTATTAAAATTGGTGGGGCTCTCTGTTCTCTGCCCCAGGCACGTTTCTATATTTAATTTAATATCAACAATAATTATGCTTGTGTCCCATACCGTTTTTTTTAAAGACTGCTCTATAGAGGATTTAACAATGCGCGCTATATGAGAGGGAAATCAAAGATTTTCCTTGATTTAAGTAAGAACAATCTTCGGATTATCACGGGGTTTTTAACAGGACACTGTCTCCTCAATGAACACTTCAGTAGATACAATGGCGAATGCAGATTCTGTGGGAAAACTGGGGAAACACCAGAACACCTCGTCACTGAGTGCTCCGAGAGGATAACTATTCGTGCCATAAATTTTGGTACGACTGATATCGGGGATAAAGAACTAACATCTGAAAAACCGTCTCAGATACTGGCTTCTGTCAAATCCCTGAGACTCTATGATAAGATATAACTCAAAAACGTCTAAAAAAATCTATATAAGTTATTAAATCGTTTCTAAACATTTAAACGGTGCCAGTGATCGATTCTGGTTAATGGTGAAGTTAGGATGATAAATGAAGATTAAATTTGAACTAGAATTCAGTCGGGTAAATCATCATTAAGATAAATAAAGGGAATTGTTCGCACGAGTCCTCAAATCAATAGCTAAACGCTGCGAATAATGCAAGCGATGCATAACGCGAGATAACAATCCTACAGTAGGGCTATAAACTGGCTGCCAATGACAGGGTTAGACTGGGAAGATTGCTGCCACACAATGTGAAATGTTAGCTATAATCATGTAATAAATCTATAATCGGAAAACAATTCTCCATCGTGTCCTGGTGCATAGACAAATTTGTGTTAAAAAATAACTACTTACTGTTCGTCCAGAATAATAAATTATTTTTGTTAGCCACATAAAATCTTTTCGCAGGCATTTTTAAATGAGAAACGTTACAGTGTATTTTGTGATTCATGGCAAAATGCTTGTAAAGATGCTTTAGAGCTGAAGGAAACATTGAAAACATGACTTGAAATGAATTTATGGAGCTGCTGTTTTAAAGAAAATGTTTCGGAAGCAAAAAAATAGTTCTTCTAATTGAACTGTTATTTTTGAAAGTGGTATAACTAAATCCAATTTAAAAAATAAATGATTAAATGGTAATTTCAGTAAGATATAGACACATTCTTTCCATATTTAAAATCTTACATTCAATGGAGTAAATACGTTGGATGAGGTTTAAAAAGAATGAACCGCAAAATTTTTTTATAAATTTAGTATGAAAAAAATGCTCCATTTAAAACAATTTTTTTATTTGGAAAAAAAAGAACCAAATGCTGAGGCAAAATTAATATATTACCACTTTAAGGTGCGTTTACAGCGGCTGCGCCGCGCAATTCATTTTTTCAACATATACTTTTATGCGCGCTAAAAAAATACACTTCAAAAGTACATGTTAAAAAAATGTTTTGGCGCGGCGCGGAGCCGCTGTGAACGCACCTTTATATGTTAACAAAAAAATGCAAAACCTTAAATATCTCGATACATTGAAAAATGGGCTTATACCACTTTTAAAAATAACAGCTCAATTAAACTATTCCCTTGAGTTTAATATTATAAAATTAACTTCTTGGAGAGCATAATAATTGGAGGAGACGTATCAAAATATTATATTTGCCTTATTTGCTGAATAGTTTTGTTGTACTTGTACAACATAAACGTATTTGTTTGATTCCAGTCAATTATGAAACTAACTTAACTTACGTGATGGCGTTTGGAAGCTCGTATTAGCGTACATGGTTAGTCAAATATTGATATTGATGTTCGCGCTACACAATGTAAAATCCACTAAATGTAATAAAGGAATCTCTTCTAAATTGCTAATAAATTTCCTGTAATTTCCGCAGGAAGAATAATAAAATAAAATATTAAATTGACCATTCCTTTTAATTTAAGTGCATTAGTAAAATAGTTGTTTCGTGCTAGAGCTAGAGCACTTGACACTCTTTAATTTAGTACAAATCGAAGAGACGAGCCAGGATGGCTTACTTAAAGCAAATCAAAGAATGATTTATCTAAATTTAATACATTTTATACGTGCGAAATGAAGGAACATTTAGAGGCGGGCTAACATTAATTAAATCTCGGCAGGCACGAGATTCCTGTTCAAGTGACTTTTTGCACGACTCTCCTGCAAATCTGCTTTTCTATACTTTAACTTTTCAAAATAACAGTTAATTCCTTTCTAACGCCAATTAAAATAAACTTGAATTTACAATCCCGATGATACACTGGAAAAACAAAATTGCTGAGTGGCAAATTTTTTCGAGTGTCTTAGACTGTTGAAGGATTTTTTTTTGTTTTGATTTGATATACCGGGAAAAAATATGCTAAGCTCTGTACTGTAAGATTAGCAAGATAATTAATTTCATTTCTGATTCACTGAGAAAGCAATGTTGCTTCCTCTAGTAACTTCTTTCATTAAATTTCAGGCCTATATTACAGGACCTTCAGTTTTGTAAGTTATTAAAGTTTTATACTATGAGAAAAGAGACACTGAGAAAAAAACACTAATCTTTGAACTGAATCTACACCAGCTTCACTTTCATAAACATTTTCACTAAAATGACAAATACACGATTTTAATTTAGCACTAATATTCAAAATATGCTTTGGAGATCCTTCTTCAATAGATTTTTTCTGAATGCACCATTAAAATAGAGCTGAAGGATGATTGCAAAATTATTTCTATTTTAGAGCCGCACTCAGAATATATACTTCATTTATACTTTGAACGAGATGTGTTTAAAAAACCGCATAACCTACCGACTAAAACAGCGAACGGGAGACATAATCGCGGCCGGAAAGTTCGCTGACCCCGGCTCGTGTTCGGCAGTGTTCAAGATGTAACGAGCATAGTCGCATCATCACCCTGAAGAAATATTTTTATTTTTAGCGTTACCTATAAAACTCGACCAATAAATACACACATTAAATCATAATTATTTGAATAAATTTACTGAGCA